TCAGATGCTTAACCAACTGAGCCACCCAGGGGCCCCTCCATGTATTTTTAAAATTTCCTCTTTGATTTCTTCATTTATCAGTTGGTTTTTTAAAAATTTTATTTTAAAATCTATTTTTTATTCCACATTTTAATGTAAATATCAATTAACATACAGTATAATATTAGTTTTAGGCATAGAATTTAGTGATTCAACACTTAAGTACAACACCTGGTGCTCATCACCAGTGCCCTCCTTAATCCCCATTACCTATTTAACCCATAACCCCTGTCTACCTCTTCTCTGGTAACCATCAGTTTGTTCTCTGTAGTTACTAGTCTGTTTCTTGGTTTTCCTGTCTTTCCACCTCTGCCACCATGTTTTGTTTTTGTTTTTGTTTTGTCTTGTTTCTTAAATTCCACATATGAGTGAAATCATATGGTATTTGTCTTTCTCTGACTTATTTCACTTAGCCTAATACATTCTAGCTCCATCCATGTCATTGCAAATGGCAAGATTTCATTCTTTTTGATGGCTGAGTAATAATATTCCATTGTACGTATATGCCACATCTCTCCTTTATTCATCAAATGTTGATGGACATTTGGACTCTTTCCATAATTTAGTGATTGTTGATAATGCTGCTGTACACATCAGGGTGCATGTGTTCTTTCAAAATAGTATTTTTTGTATCTTTGACCCATTCATTGTTTTGTATCTTTGACCCATTGATGTTGATAGCATGTTCTTTAACCTCCATGTGTTTGTGTTCTTTCCAGATTTTCCCTTGCAGTTGATTTCTAGTTCATACCATTGTGGTTGGAAATTATGCATGAAAAGATTTCAGTCTTTTTAAATTTGTTGAGACTGTTTTTTTTTTTTTTTTTTTTTTTTTTTTTTTGCCAGTATGTGATCTATTCTGGAGAATGTTCCATGTGTACTTGAAAAGAATGTGTATTCTGCTGTTTTTGGGTGGATGGAATGTTCTGAATATTTATGTTAGCTCCATCTAGTACAATGTGTAATTCAAAACCATTGTTTCCTTGTTGATTTTCTGTTTGGATGATCTATCCACTGATATAGGTGAGGTGTTAAATTCCCCTACTATTATTGTATTATTACCTGTTTCTTTATGTTTGTTAACAGCTGCTTTATATGTTTAGGTGCTCTCATATTGAATGCACAAATATTTACAATTGTTATATCTTGTTGGCTTATTCTCTTATGATTACGTAATGTCCTTCTTTGGCTCTTGACAGTGTTTGTTTTAAAGTCTCTTTTGTCTGATATGAGTTTTGCTACCCCAGGTTTTGTTTTCACTTCCATTTGCGTGATAAATGTTTTATCATCCCTTCACTTTCAATCTACATGTATCTTTAGGTCTGAAATTAGGCTGTTGTAGACAGTACATGAATGGGTCTTGTTTTTTATTAAGTCACCCTATGTCTTTTGATTGGAGCATTTAATCCATTTATATTAAAAATAATTGTTAGGTATTACTTATTGCCATTTTGTCACTTGTTTTATTGTTGTTTTTGTATTCTTTCTCTGCCCCTTTTTTCTCTTGCTCTCTTGTGGTTTGATGGCTTTCTTAAGTGACATACTTGGATTCCTTTTTATTTTTTGCAGGTTTTTTGATTTGTGGTCACCATTAGGTTTATATATAATATCTTGTGCGTATAGCAGTCTATATTAGGATGATGGTCACTTATGATTGAACCCATTCTAAAAGTGCTCTAAAAGAGAGAATTTTTACTCTCCCCCTACCATGTTTTAGGTATATGGTGTCATACTTTATGTTCTTTTATTTTGTGAATCCCATGACTGATTTTTACAGATGTACTTGATTGTACTCTTTTTGTGCTTTAACTTCCATACGGGATTTATAAGTGATTAATCTACTACCTTTTATGTTCATGTGTACCTGTGAATTTTTTTCCTTACTTCTGCATATGGTACTTTCTTTCCACTCAAAGAATCCCCCCTTTAACATTTCTTATAAGGCTGGTTCAATGGTGATGAATTCTTTTAAGTTTTGTTTGTCTGGGAACCTCTTTATCTTGCCTATTATTTTCAATGATAGCCTTGCTGGATAGAGTATTCTTGGTTGCAGGTTTTTTCCTTTTAGCACTTTGACAGTATCTTGTCACTCCCTTCTGGCCTGCAAAACTCTGCTGAAAGATCAGTGTATAGCCTTATGGGGTTTCCCTTGTATGTAACTGTTTTCTTTTGCTGCTTTTAAAATTCTTTATGATGACTTCTTGCCATTTTAATTACTATGTGTTGTGTGGTGTAGACCTCCTTGGGTTGATTTTTTTGGGTTTCTCTGTGCTTTCTGGATCTGGATGTCTGTTTCTTTTTCCAGTTTAGGGAAGTTTTGAGCTATTATTACTTCAAATAAATTTTCTGCTCCCTTTTCTCTTTCTTCTTCATCTGGGATCCCTGTAATGCAAATGTTATTATGCTTGATGGTGTTGCAGAGTTCCCTTAACCTATTCTCATTTATTATTGTTCTTTTTCTTTTTCCTGTTTAGCTTGGTTGCTTTCCATTATTTTGTCTTCCAGCTTGCTCATATGATCTGCTTCCTTTACCATGTATTACCTGCAGTGTATTGTAAATTTCAGCTATTGACTTCTTCAACTCTGGTTGGTTCTCTTTCATATTTTCCGTCTCTTTGTTGAAGGTCTTACTGAGATCCTCCACTCTTAAGTCCAGTGAGTACCTTTATGACCATTACTTTAAATTCTCTATCAGGTGTATTGCTCATCTCTGTTTTATTTAGCTGTTTTGCTGTGATTTTGTTCTATTCTTTCATTTAAGACATATTATCTAACCTCGTTTCTTCTTTTTTTTTTAATTTTTTTTTTAACGTTTATTTATTTATTTTTTTTGAGACAGAGAGAGAGCATGAACAGGGGAGGGGCAGAGAGAGAGGGAGACACAGAATCAGAAACAGCCTCCAGGCTCTGAGCTGTCAGCACAGAGCCTGATGCGGGGCTCGAACTCACAGACCGTGAGATCATGACCTGAGCTGAAGTCAGATGCTTAACTGACCAAGCCACCCAGGTGCCCCGCTCCTCCTCGTTTCTTCTAATTCACTGTTTCTATGTGTTAGGGAAGTCAGCAACATTCTCTTGCTCTTGAAACTAGTGGCCTTAATAAAAAAGAGATCCTACAGTGTCAACAGTGCAGTGTTCCCCTGTTCACCAGAACCTGGCACTTAGTCATGTTTCTGTGTGTGTTGTGTGTACCTTACTGCTGGGCTGGTGTATGTTTGCCTTTAGTCCAGTTATCTGCAATTGTTCTCTTTGCTCATTGTAAGCCGAGTTTACTCCTTGTGTTATTAGTGGGCCAGTCTGGGGCTGCCTTGGGCTTGAGTTGAGTCAGACCAGGCATTTGCCAGAGCTGAGGTAGAACCAAAATGCAGTGTGTTGTTCCTGTGTCATCCTCCTATGAAGCTTTTGTTGGTGGGTGGGGCCTGTAGTGAGACCAGATGTCTACCCCCAGCCCACTACTGGGTCCATAGCTGGAGAGGTGTGTGTGGTTATCTTCCCCTCTTGCTGGGGCAGGAATCACTTTGGTGTTGTGCTAGCTCCTTCTTGGGGCTGCTTGCACACTGCCATGTTTGTAGCACTGCTTTGGATGGACTCCTGCCAAGGGCACATTGGAGGAGATGGATCCACAAGAGAACACAGGGGCAGACCACAAGGTACCAACAGGGCCTGCCTGTTCTGCCACAAGAGGCAATCTGCAGCCACCTGGGAAAACTCCCACTGATGCTGGATTGCAGGGGGTGAGTCCACAGAAGAGTGTGGGCATAGGGCATGCTGTTAGCAAGCTAGGTGGAGGGTTTTCATGCTGGGCTGTTTCTGGCAGATGTCTGTGTATCTAAGCTGGGAGGTGGGAGAGGGAATGACATCTCCCAGCTCTTTTGTCTTAGAGAAGTCTTCCAAAGATCTCTACCCCTTCAGCACATACTCTGAGTTTAGTAAACAAATTTCCCTCCTGTATACCCCAGGCATTTTTCAAACTGCTGCTTGTCTATTGTATCTCAAAAGGGCTGTTTGTTGTGCTGCCTCTTTAAAGGCAGGGACTCCCTTTCCTGTCACCCTTTGGCTCTCCCTGAGCTGAGCCTGCTGATTTTTAAAGTTCCAGGTGTTAACACCACTGATTGAGGGAGCTCACAAAGTTAGGCCTTTCTGGTTTTTAAAGCCAAATATGGAGATTCATCTTCCCAGTGTAGTTCCCCATGCCTGGGTACCTGGTGTGGGGTCTGTTCTTTTCCCCTCTCCCATTGGTGAGTTTGGCTCCTGTGTTTCCACCCTTCTTACCCTCTTTGATGTGGCCTTTTTTATACATTTAGCTGTGGAGAGTCTGTTCGGCCAGTCTTTGGGTCCTTTTCTGGGTTATTTATACTGATGTGGGTGTTGCCTAGATGTATCCATGGGACAAGGTGAGCCTAGGATCTTTCTACTTTGCCATTTTCCCTGGAAGTTTAAGAATGGTTTTGTATTTTTTTTTTTAAGCTGGGAGAAAATCTAAAGAAGAATAAAACTATACGAAATTTGGCTTTCATTGTCATAAAGTTTTATTGGAATATAGCCATACTCATTCATTTACATGTCTATGGCTATTTTCACCCTACAATGGAAGAATTGAGCAGTTGTGAGAGAGATGAATGGACTACAAAGTGTAAAACATTTATTTTCTAGTCCTTTACAGAAAATGTTAGATAATGTATGTTTTAGACCATCAAGACGATCACACGTTTATTCTCTTTTACCCTAATAGAGTGTCAAGTTAGGATGCTTTCAGCCACAAGTAACAGAAAGTATGACCCAAAGCTGCTTAAGGAATATGAACATTTATTATCACATGTAGACAATCTCCAGGGACGGTATAATCATTCTTCATGTCTGATTTTCTTGGCTTTGCATCCTACATTGTTTGTGTTTGTTCTTAAATGTCCTTCCCCTGTCCAGATGGATTCTTTGAAATACAAATCGAATTATTTGTAGAGATTGGTTCTAGGGGTTTTGTATATTTATGCTTTAGCAAATGGAGTTTAAAAACATGTTGATCTGATTTCTAATTACATAGTCATGTAGGTAGACACTATTAGTGCCTTGTGTAATAGTCATGTCCCAGGCATCAGTGACATACACACCGAGATCTTTGAAAATATCCTCATGGTACGATATTGAATGTAACCACGGAAGTTTCCAAACCTGACTGTGTGTATGTGCATATTCCTGTTTTCTGTCTTAAAGATCACTTTAGTGGCTGGGCTTCTTAGGAATAGTAGTGTAATAGCTTCTCGGGCATTCATGGCCCTGCAAATGAAAATGTCAATGGGGAAGGGCCTGAAGTGTTGGCCACGTGTGATGACGATGGCTGTGCTTTGGTCATCTGATATCCCATCAGTTTCCTGAGGAATATAACCCTCATCTATTCCAGAGTAGAGCTGAAGGGTGACAAAAGAGTACCTATATTTTTTGCCACTGAATCTGAATGTGTCTTTCTGCACCCAAGAATAAATGCTTCTCAAAAATTCCAGTTCCAGGAAGATGAAAAAAGTTTATAAAAAAATAAAATTTTAACTTGAAGGCAATGATTATTCTATCATTTAAAATAGTCATCCATCTAGATTATTTCTTACTGGAACATCCTACGCTTTGGGGTAGATTATCTGTTCGTATGTGTGAAATATCAATCAAAATGTAAAGTTTTCATTGGAATTCATAAGGAGAAACACCATTTCTTGTGAAGATGGGAATAAAACGTTTTAAATTAAAAGGCTCAAACCTAGAAAGTGAAATGAAGTTGAAAATAAGACAATCAAAGTGAGAGAATAGAGATCTCATTAATAGTACTTTAATATCAGCCTGAATTTCTAAAATAATATAACATAATTACATACTTTTTTACAAGTTTGGATAAGTGTTCGATCCAGTGATGCAAGGTAGAGTCTCCCAGGAGATAAATGAATGTTCCTTTCAAAGAGCCATTAATCTCCATTGTATTTAACTGAATCTGGTTACAAAATGTAATCCACCTTCCTTCCGAAGTATAACCACCAGGGACAGGAGTCTTCATTCTGACTTGGCATTATCCTTTTAATTTTTCACTCTAATAACAGAGACACTTGTGGTAAGTGATTTTATTGGCGTAAGTTAAATATCTAATCTTTCTCTGTCCTTCACTTTTTGATTTCTTTCTCATACTCCTGTTCCCTAATTCCTTCCTCCTACTATTCTTTGATCACCAGCTTTGTTTTAGCCACTTCTATGCATTTCTTTGAGATTTTGAGTCATCTTGACTCCTCCTTGTTCGTTTTCTCCCAAATATGGTTGTTGGCTAAGTTTTGAAGTTTTGCCATCACTGCAGACTCTTCAGTGACTTAGGCTTTTGTCTCTAACCTGAATATTAGTGATCTGACAGTTGGTGTCCTTGCACCAAATTACTTACCTTTGTTCCATTAGTGAAGCAGTGGTCTTATTTTTTCTATGAAATTTTTATAAGAATATTTTTTTTTTGTTAAAAAATAGCTTAGGGGCGCCTGGGTGGCGCAGTCAGTTAAGCGTCTGGCTTCAGCCAGGTCACGATCTCGCGGTCTGTGAGTTCGAGCCCCGCATCAGGCTCTGGGCTGACGACTCGGAGCCTGGAGCCTGTTTCCGATTCTGTGTCTCCCTCTCTCTCTGCCCCTCCCCCGTTCATGCTCTGTCTCTCTCTGTCTCAAAAATAAATAAAAACGTTGAAAAAAAAATTAAAAAAAAAAAAAAAGAAAAAATAGCTTTTTAAAAAATCCAAACACTATGAAATACGTAGCTTGAATAGATATATTTAGATAGGATTTCACAAAAACTAACATACAGCAGACAGTGCAAACCAATATTCTGAGATTTTCCAGCAAGTTCCATTAGATTTAGAGGCTCTCTTGGCACATAGTCTGCTTTCCAAGGCATTGCAGGCAGCAATGCACCGAAAGTTTTGCTATGGCATAATGAAAATCCTCAGATATTTTACGTGTCTTGTTTCCTTTTCACTCAGTACATGCCCCCCTCCCCCACCACTGAGTTCATGCCTTGTATTTTAGGTTTGTTACAAAGCATTTCTATACTGATATCATATTCTGTATTATCTAGAAAGCAAATAATAATGACTTAAGCCTATACATTTATTTATCCCTCACAAAACAGTCCTAACTTGAGCAAGCCAGGGCTGATATGACATTACATGCTTTCAAGGACACTTTCTGTCTTGTTCTGCTACTTTTTTTTTTTTTTTTGAGAAGGTATGGTAATCTTCACTTTTTAATTTTTTATAGCTATATTGAGATATACTTGGCATACAAATTACTGCATGTATTTAATGTATACAGTTGAATGAGTTTGAACATATGCATGCACCCATGATACCACCGTCACAATGGAGGTGCTGTTCTTAACTTATGACTTCAGTCTCATCGTCTAACATGGATCTTTCATCTCTCAGCATTATATCGAGAGTTCAGCCGGTAGGAAGCAGAGGTCAAGGTGTTTTACTTTTAAAGGCATGACCCAGAAGTTTCCCATATCACTTCCACTCATAATCCAGTCAAAAGTCTAGTTATGGCTACCACCAGCTTCAAGGAAGACAGCCTGTAGTTGGGTGATCACGGGCCTAGCTAAAATTGCAGTGTTTTATTACCACAGAGGGAAGGGAGAATGGGTCCTGGAAGACCACACCCAGTCTTTGCTTTACTCTGCATGCTTAGCACCCCCAGAGGCCTTGCAGTCTCTGGCTGGCTGTCTCCACAGAATATTCATAAGCATGGTTGTACTGTGTTTGTAACCTACAGACAAAGTGGAAAAATGGTGCTAGTGGAAGAATTGGAAAATTCTGAACTAGCTATTCCAGGATTACCTGAAAGAATTGTTAAGTCATAGTGATTAGGCTTGCTCATGAGAGTTTCCATAATCCTATAATTATATCAAAACTTCAGTGTGACATGTTTGGGGTTCTATGAGGTTTGATAGCATTGCGCCTGGATGACTGACGATCATAACCCTGGAATCTTAATAATCCTAATGTACTGGCATACTTTGGTAGGAAGATAGCCTTTGTGCTTATTATTGTAAACCATATCTTGTACAATATATATGTGTCAGAGTATTCATTTTGCCATGTGTCAAGCTAAATGCTTTGAAAGACTATCTCAAATATATAACAAATTTTTTTAAATAAAATTAAATTTTTTTTTCATTTTATTTATTTTAGAGAAAGTACAAGCAGGAGAGGGACAGAAAGGGGGATAGATTCCTAAGAAGGCTCCATGCTCAGGGTAGACCTGTTGTGGGGCTCTATCCCACCACCCTGGGATCATGACGTGAGCCAAAATCAAGAGTCAGATGCTCAACGGACTCGTGAAGGTCCAATGAGGTCCTAGGTGCCCCTACGACAAATTTTCTTATGATTAGTCTTAATGTTTATTTTACTTAACATTATTATCAATATACTGTTAAGCCTACTCCAGAATTATTAAGATTCCATTAGACTTGTTGATTAGTTTAAAGATTACGGCAGGGAGACTAGCATCCCCCCCTCTGCTAAGATATCTGTATTCTAATTTCTGGGACCTGTGAATGTGTTACCTTCCATGGCAAAAGGGAGTTTCCAAATGTGATGAAAGGTATGGATTTTGGGATGAGAGATAATCCTGGATGATCTAGGTGGGACCAACCTAAATCTCATTAGTCTTCAAAAGTGGGAGAGGGAGGACAGAAGAGTGGATCAGAAAGATGTTATGGGGGACTTGGCCTACTGTTGTAGCTTTGGAAAATGGAGGAAGGGGGCTGTGCAGAACAAGGGCACCTCTAGAAGCTGGAAAAGGTGAGGAAGCTGATTCTGCCCTACAGCCTCCAGAAAGGAATGCTGCCCTGCTCAACTTTTATTTTAGCTCAGTGAGACAGATATTTGACTACTGAACTACAGAACTGCAAGATGATATATTTGTATTATTTTAAGCCATTATGACACCTTTTCAACATCAAATCATCCCATCCAACAACATTTATATAAATAGAAGAAAAAAACACCCTTATTTTATATCCCTTAGTAACATTAAAACGTTTTTTCTGTAGGTCATACACATTTTGTTAAATTTGTGAAATGGCCTTTTGAAGCACAAAGTGGATTGTATCACTTTCTTCCTTAGTTGATTTTTGTAGCTTTCAAAAACCTTCTGAATGAACCCTCAAATTCTCAGCATAGTATATGAGAACCTCCATGATTTAGTTTCTTTTTTCTAGTCTCTTCCTTTGCTGTATTTCCTCAAATACTTCCACTCCATTGGCCTATTGATACCAAATTAAACTTGAATTATTTCTAACAATAATTTTTTTTAGCAATTTTCCATGCAGTATTTACCCTTTATCTCATGTAATATGCATAAAACATTAGAAATTACTCAAATCTAAATTACACCCTAGATTATTATTTGCTAAGCCTGGCAATCCTACTCATGATCCTTATGAGTTTTCTCTTTCGCCTCATTCTTTGTCTACAGATATCCTTCAGGGCTAAGTCAAATATAAACTCTAACATAAGCCCTCTACCTTTTACTTTCTTTATAGAATTGCTACATTGAATGTCTTTCAGACTGCAACCTTGCTGAACATTTATTTTTCTCCATTTGTCCATAATGCCTCATATCTATTAGAACCTTGATAAACATTTGCAGAATACATGAATAAATATTAGGCAATAAATCATTAGTTGAAATAAATCTCAAAATGAATGTTATTGGTAAACTCAGATAAGCTTTAAAGAAAGTTGTTTTAAAGCCTAGTATAAACATTATTCTAAGTAACATGGCTTTACAGTTGCCACTAAAACCCATTTAATAAAATGGAAACTCCATATAAAATTGCTGAGTGCATAAACTAAAGGTTAGGAAGTTATGCCAACAGAGAATTCGGCCAACCAAACCAAAATGTTCCAACTCTGAAGCCGTGGGTAACCATCAAAGACATTTGCACAGTGCCCCAGACAGAATCACCAACTCTAGGAGATGCACTACCATGTTTAAATATGAATGTAGAATATTGATACTTTCCCCTTTAGGAAAAATGGCTATGAAATCTGCTATAAAATGAGTTGCAAATAATTTCTTTGAACTGATTTCTCTCTTTAAAATACAAGGTGATTGATACCACAGACACCTGCTAGGACTTGAGCTCCAGGAAATCCATGATTACTAGGACTGGTACTGATCACCATCCCCCTGTGTAAGAATGACTCTTGGATGATCCAGGACAAGCACCACCTACCATAGGACAGAGCAAACTTACTGTTACACTGGGAGATGTCAGTGACTTTAGGAGGTTTCATCATTTCACCTGCCACATTGGACCTTCAAAAAATAAGATCATAAATTGGCCTTCTGTCTGTCCACACAATACGGGTAATAGAACTCTTTTGCTTGTGAGTAAGAAATAACTTAAAATTGTCTACAACTGACAACTATTATTGTTGTGAATTTTGCATATATTGGGCATTGTATGTGGATTAGCATTTTGGAAAAAACTCTCCCTGTCTGAGAGCACGTCAAGTCCAGGGCCACTCTGCTCATCTGCCACATGCAATCAGTGTGTCCTCGAAATTTGTGATTCAAAATATTTACCTGGTATGCACGTTGTCTTCTCTCGTTTCCACATCATATTTTGAAGTTCATGTAATATTTTTCTTGGATTAATGTGGGCCTCTAATTAACCAAGCTGTCTCAGTTTTACCCCACCTAAATTTTTCAACACAACTTCCAGAACACCCT